CGTGTATCTGAATTCGGAATTAATGTATTTTCTAAAACAAACCAAAGCTAAGATATCAATAATCCGACGTCTTAACTATGCCACAGCGAGGGGAAAAATACACCTCGATCAGTAACGTCACAGAATAAGATCTGGAAAACTAGAATATAATTCCAGCTGAGGCAGAAATCGTTCTCCAAAACGGATGTGGGAAGTACCCTGCCCCACATGTAATTGGCACCTTCGGGGTAGACAGAACGAGACATAAATTTTAACCGCTAACCAACTATCGCCGAGGTTAAACGTGTGGAAATATACCTCCACTCCCCAATGCCTGAGACACAAAGCCCCAATGTTCATATTACACACGGCTGAGATAAAACGATCACGCTAAATTTAGTAAAAATCTATCAACTGTCATTTAAATTAAACCGCTGATACACAGAGGCTGTATATATATATATAAAAAAATGCTTAGATTGTTCAAGGAAGGGAAGTATTTGAAGAAAATCTAGAAAGTGAGGTACACGTGGCGAAATTTCAAAAGGTAATCAGACGATAATTTACAGTTACCTAACCACATGATTGTCACTGGTATTAAATGAGCACTCTTCTCTGTCCCGTGCTAATTGGATTCATTAACAGGCAACGATTCATATGCAAACATAATTATTAAATTCAGTGACTTGTTTAATGAAACAGGTAAAATACACAATGAAATATCCAATTTCGGTATTCGAATTAAAGCAGGCTGAACATTTATAGGCCAGTGGTAACCGAGCACACCACCTGTTACGACGTTCATAACTCTTCGCGGTGGTGGGGGCAGAGACATGAAGAGCACCGTACTGATAGAAGGTTCCCAGGCAATGCCCGTTCGTCCTTCCGGTAAGGATAAAATATCCATCTACATAATATTTAAGATTCAGTCCGTACCGCAAGGAAAACACAACAACATTTCTTAGGGAAATAATCGCTGTTTACAGTCAGAATCACACGAATTTGTTTATTTATTTCCTGTTAGAGCAAGTGTGGCATATCTCTAAAAGGTTTAAAGCTTTTCTATGTCATTTCCTTCCAATGTTTACTTTAGTTCCATTTTTATTTTTTATTAACTGTTTTTTTTATCAATTCCCTGCGCTCCTTGATTCGTTTAACTTGTATATACGAGGCGCGTCCAAGTGCGGTCAGTGATAACGCTAGGCCGCACACGGTTCGACGGACAGCAAGTCTCCTGCAGGAGTTTAGCTGGGAGGTGTTTAATCATTCACCCTCCAGCCCGGACCTCGCTCCCAGTGATTTCCATCTTTTCCTACACCTCAAGAAATTCCTGTCCGGTCAGCGTCAGCGTTTTGAGAATGACAGAGAGGCGGAGATGGTTGTCACACAGTGGTTCCAATCCCAGGCGGCAGACTTCTACGACACAGGTATTCAAAAGTTGGTCCCACGGTATGACAAATGTCTCAATTCCGGTGGCGAATATGTTGAAAAATAGCTGGACACTTGCTGTATCTGCTGCAATAAATATTTCCATGAAATTGTGTTTTGTTTCTGTAAACGGCCCCACGGAAACTTACTTTGAGGACGCGCCTCGTATATCCAGAATCAGGGTTAAAAGAAACAGAGAGAGAATGGTTAAGTCGCTGTTGCCTCTTGATCAAGCCAATCACCGTCGAATCAATCTGATTAGACGGAGCAGAGCGGGAATGTATACCTTACAGGGCACAGTCGGTGTACTTTACTGCGTCTGAGCCGAGAAAATCCTGGCAGTACGAGCAAGATCCTTTTTTTTTCTAACGACGACTTATTGGTTAAGTACACGCAATTACTACACCTCGTTACTTTGCTATTGCGCCCATTAATTTCATCTTCACATACGACAAGTCGAAGCTGACACAAATAAAACACCTCTTCAGCAGAACATTATCTTTGCAATTGGCACTGAAAGTTTATAAAATTTTCTTTACGAAGAAAATTTCAAGTGAAAACTCTTAGACTCCACCAGACCCTAACATAGACTAAATTGCAATTCCTGCTACCAGCGTCGCCACCGTCAGAACTGCATCAAGCTTGACGGACATCGGCTATTATATCAGAACTGGATAGATTTGTGTGAAATTTCACATTTAGTGATGACGTCAATGATTCTAAACCATCTGCAGTTGATACAGCAACGATAAGTAATTCAGAAATGAAAGCAGTCTATAACGTCGATAAATAACCACGATAAATAATCCTGGGGGGTCTCGGGTTCGATTCCCGGCGGTGCCCGAATTTATAACTTGTGTTGGGCAAGGCCGGGGTCTAGGCAACACGGAGTTTTCCTCCGGGGCATCCCAACAATTACTCCATTCACACACAGAAGAAGGCAGTGGCAAACCACTTCTGGATCATCTGCCACGAACGTATATGAACAGGTCCCAGTCCGAAAAAAGGATGGAAGGATCCTGTTCATATGGACCTGTCATCAGACAGAACACTAAATAAAATATAATGCTTCAAAGTCGCGTTTAAAAAGGAATGCAGAAAAATGCCGTGTTAAACCTCACCTGAAATGACCTTTGCGGTTGATACAGACTCGTTAAATAAGCTCCGAAAAACAGAAATGTAAAACGTCGAGAAAGAAAGGCAGAATTGTAGTAAAACTCCGAATGTTCCGTCTTGTCCGCCGTTGGATTGAATTTTTAAAAATTCAACGCCACTGTCGTGGAGCGTTAATAACAAGAGTGGCATAAGGACTCGTCGCAAATAAAACCCATTTCCAGCCGAACGTAGCCCGCGGTCCGGGGGGCACCCCAAACGTTCCAGGGCAACGTCGGAGGAGCACTTTCACAGAGGTTTATGTCACAAATCGATAAACCCATTCCCACCGAGGCTCCAGAGATCCCCCAAATTTCCTTCCGACCACGTATACAAATCCTCACTCCAGAACGAGTTTCTCCAAATTCTAACAAAGAATCTCAAAACAATTCCTTTTAACGACTCCGCATCAGGTATGTCCATCGGAATGCATAACCAAACTTATCAAAGGGCTATTATTACTCCGCGAGTCAAGTTTGGACTTAGACACGTTTAGTTTCAGGACCGGCCGCTAGTGGCGCTGCTGCAGCGCTGGCTGGGGGGATATCTCGCACTGCAGCTTGAGAAATTGACTCCATTTGTTAGTTCCTTCTCTCTCCATCTTCCACGTCTCCTCCTTCCCTCGTCTTCCTCTCCTCCCTTTTCGTTATTTATTCAATTCCAATTTCCTATTTTCATTTACTTTCACTCTGTTCCTACTGAAATTGACTCCATTTGTTAGTACCTCCTCTCTCCATCTTCCACGTCTCCTCCTTCCCTCGTCTTCCTCTCCTCCCTTTTCGTTATTTATTCAATTCCAATTTCCTATTTTCATTTACTTTCACTCTGTTCCTACTTACATCTCCCCATCCGTACGTATTTCTTCTCGCCTTCTATTTACAAAATCTAATTTCCTTTCTTTGCATTTTCTCCTTCGCATTCCATTGTCCCCTTATTTTCCTTTCTTTTCCTCAGATTCTCTCATGTACTGAAGTGCTGTGCTCGGCCCAATGACAGAACATAATCTATGGACGCGATCGATTTGAACATTTCAATCAACTGGAAACACTACACCTGTTCAGTTCATCTTAGCAGAAAATGACGTCTTATTCATTCCCCCCACGATAACTCTAATCCTTCTGATTCTTTAGTAAAAGAACATTTGCGATTGGATTCCATTAAAACTTGTACATAAAATCACAAAGACATTGTATAAAAATTCTACAAACCAAAAAAAAAAAAAAAAATTATCCCTTTACTGAAAATATAATATACCAAGTGTAAAATTACCCCCAATTAATATTATTAACTAGAAAATTAAAAGTACAAGGGAGAGAATAAAAACCTTGCAACATTCAAATGTCTAGAAAATACAAAAGTGTATTTACGTAAAAAAAAAAAAAAGGAGATTAAATTCTAAGGTTGCTTCCTACTTCTACGCAGTTCAATCTTTTGGTTTCCCGTATACAAATTAAATTATATAGAAATCTCACATTCGGGGAAGAAAACAGATTGAAGGTGTTTTGAGAACACGGCGCTGAAAAGAATATTTCAAACTAAGAAAGATTTGAGAAAAAATTCGTAATAATGAACACGCGGAAGGATACAGGAATTAAACGTAATACATAAAGATTATAAAATTCAGTAAAAAATTTAATAAACGACCACAGAGTTCCAATACTGTCATAATTTATCTGTGATATTGTGACGTGGGCGTCTGATAAAGTTTACCGACGTTTCAGGGGCGTTTGTTGCCACCACAAGAGCGATACGGAAACGTCGGTAAACTACCGGACAACATGGCGGAACATCCCAGACAGCAGCCATCTTAGTCCTCAGTCTGGAAAGGGCAGAGACCCCCTGACCTACAGAGTAACCACGGAATGAAATTAAATTCTGCAACGACCATGACACCGACGTTTTTACAACACATCGAATCGCAAATTCTGAAGACATTCTCGTAGTCACACGTTCCTCTCCAAAGGTTTTAGGCGAATTCGGGGCTAGGGTTTTTTTTTTTTAAAAAATCTAATAGCAGTAAACCGTCACAATCTCGCGGGGGGGGGGGGGGGGGAC